AACATTTTTAGCTTCATCAATAACATTCATGTTAGAGCCAAAGATCAACAAATCATCAACATATAGGCAAATAATCACATGAGAATTATTCCAAGACTTATGATATATGCACTTATCACACTCATTTGTTTTAAAACCATTTTCAATCATGCAGGAATCAAACTTTTCATGCCATTGCTTTGGTGCCTGTTTTAAGCCATATAGGGATTTAGTAAGTTTACATACTTTGCTTTCTTGGCCTGCTTCAACAAAACACTCGGGTTGGTCCATATAAATTTCTTCATTTAGGTCTCCATTTAGAAAAGCAGTTTTTACATCCATTTGATGAATTTGCAAATCAAAAATTGCAGCCATAGCAACTAAAAGTCTAATGGATGTAATTCTTGTTACCGGAGAAAAAGTATCAAAAAATTTTAGGCCTTCTAGTTGTTTAAAACCTTTTGCAACTAGCCTAGCCTTGTATTTATCAATAGACCCTTCCGATTTCAATTTTTTCCTTAAGACCCATTTGCAACCAATTGTTTTACAACCCGGTGGTAAATCAACTAACTTCCAAGTTTTATTAGAAATTAGAGATTCCATTTCATCATTTACAGCCTCTTTCCAAAAAATAGAATCATGTGAAGATAATGCTTCTTTCAAAGTTAGAGGGTCATTTTCAACATTAAACACATAAAAATCATGACCAAAATCTTTTTCTACTCTAGCTCTTTTACTTCTTCTTAACTCAAAATCAACATCTTTATTTTTTAAAGTTGAATTAGAAGAACTAGGAAGTGACAAAATATTTTGTTCAATCCTTTGACCCCCACTATTTTTAGAATCAAAAGGAAATTTATTTTCATGAAAAATAGCATCACCAGATTCTATTACAATATTATCTTCAAGATTAAAAAATCTATAGGCTGTACTATTTGAAGCATAACCAAGAAAAGCACAAGTAGTAACTTTCTTACCCAACTTTGTAATCTTGGGATCCATTAGCCTCACAAAGGCTAGACAACCCCAAACTCTTAGATAACCCAAACTTGGCTTGTAACCTTTCCACAATTCAAAAGGTGTCAATTTAGACTTTTTATGAGGCACACGATTCAACACATAACAAGCAGTTAAGATAGCTTCACCCCAAAAATTTAAAGGTGCATGTGACTCAATAAGCATGGCATTAGTCAATTCAACCAAAGTTCTATTTTTCCTTTCTGCTACTCCATTAGACGAAGGAGAGTAAGGAGGAGTAGTTTCATGAATTATTCCCAATGATCTAACAAAAGAATTAAACTCATTTGATTCATATTCACGACCTCTATCACTTCTAATTCTTTTTATTTTTCTTCCAAACTGATTTTCAACCTCATTGAGATAAGTTTTGAAATTTTCAAAAGCATCACTTTTATTTTTCATCAAGTAAACATATGCAAACTTAGAAAAATCATCAATAAAAGTGATAAAATATCTATTACCTCCACGAGTTAGAATTCCACCAAGTTCACAAATATCAGTATGAACTAATTCTAACAAATCAGTTTTTCTTTCAACTCGAAAATGAGGCCTTTTAGTGATCTTGGCTTTACTACAAGCCTCACACTTTTCAAAATTCTTTTTAACCATTGGAATTAATCCTAAACTACTCATGATTTCAACATAACGATCATTAATATGACACAAACGAGCATGCCAAAAATTAGTAGAAGAAAGCATATAAACAGAAGTAGAAGTTTTATTCATTTCAACATTCTACTTAAACATCCCATCACATGCATACCATTTCCCCACAAAATACCCTTCTTCACTTTTACATATTGATCAGATTCAATAATTTGTTTAAAGCCTGCTTTATTAAGAAGAAAACTAGACATCAAATTTTTTCTCATAGAAGGAGTATAAAGTACATCTTTCAATGTTAATATCCTTCCAGAAATAAAACACAATTCAACATCTCCCTTTCCAAGCACTTGAGTAGTGTGAGCATCACCAAGCATGATAGTTTTGGGCTCCTCAAAATGAGTATATTTTTTAAACCAGTCTTTGTCATAACAGACATGACGGTTTGCACTAGAATCAGCCCACCATCCATCAACATTCTCAACCATGTTTATGTCGGTAATCACCGCCACAAAAGGTTCTTCGGTAACGTTTGCCTGAGGGTTAGGACTACGTTTCCGGAATCTGCAAAATCGAGCAATATGCCCACTCTTGCCACAAACAAAGCATGGTCCCTTTTCTTGAACTTGTTGATTTTGTGCTTGGTGATTTTCACTATTATTTTTCTTGGGAGGGCTACCATTATTTTTCTTGAATTTTTTCTTCTTAGGCTTTAAAGAAGTATTTTTGTGAGTTTCAGGAGTAGCATTATTCGAAGTAATTAAATTTACCTTCGATGTGATGTTGTTCTCTTCTGTTCGTAAAAGTGCATCTTGGCCTCTTGCTTCTTCTTCCATGCTGGTTTTCATTATCAAGCTTTCAAGAGAGGTTTCCTTTTGTTTGTGGCGCATAGTTTTTTGAAATTCCTTCCAAGAAGGTGGAAGTTTATCCACTATGCCACAAACAATAAGGTTATCTCCAATTTTAACCTCTTCGGAATCCGACAATCATGATGAAGTCTTGAGCTTGATCTACCACTGATTTGTTGTCCACCATTTGGAAACGAAAAAATCTACTAGCTGCATATTTTTTCGCTCCAGCCTCTTCGTTATCATACTTACTTTGCAATGCCTTCCAAATTTTCTTTGCACTAGAGTAAGTTCTATCATAATAATCATAAAAATTATCAGATAGACAATTAAGAAGATAATACCGACACTTATAGGAATCACCATCGTACTTTTCCACTTTCTCTAGATGAGAAATAGTTTCATCATCATTCATAGTGGTGGTGTCTTCTTTATTTGGATTCTTCTCTGTTAATACATAAGAAACATTGAGAAGACTTAAATAGAAAAGTACTTTACCTTTCCATCTTTTGAAATGGTTACCATTGAACCGAAATGGCTCGTTAAGATCTCCCATCTTGACATCCGCGGTTTTTTCAATTATAGCCATGCTGAATCTCCTTAAAATTGTTAGTGAAAAAACTTACATGATAATAAAATTGCAAGATTACAATTGAAAATAAAATGAAGAAAGTAATCTCTTCAGGCCGAGGCGCGGATATCTCGCTCTCTTTAAGGAGATTCAAGCCCACTGCAGCAAATGTTTTCACCGATCCAGCAGTAGTCCTCTTTGACTTGTCCCCTCCAGGATACAACAGCCTTTACAAAGTATAACTCAACAACTCTGGACAAGAGTTGAGTCCAAAGCTCCACAAAAAAAAAACACCTCCCTTCAACTAATAAGAACTCTCTTTAGACTAACTCTTTCACTTTTTGTTTTCTCTTATGAATTGTGTGTCTCTAAAATCAAATGAAGACTACCACTATTTATACTACAAGAAGTCTTCCTAGCAATGAATAGGAAGATAATGGAGGTAGTAAATAGTGAAGATAATGGCCTTAGGAATTACATAGGTTACATAAGTTACAATGGGAGTTACATATGTTACATATGTTACAAAGGGAGTTACATATGTTACATAGGTTACAAAGGGAGTAATGGAGGAATTAAGAATGAAATACATTGATGGATAACCAATGCTAATGGATGATGTAGAAGTCATCCATTCTTATAACTCCAAAATAAAGCAATTTAATAAGTTAAATATTAATATTAAAATGCTAATAACCTAATATTACTACATGTAGTACTCTGAAAACAACAGTCATTAGTCTCAGAGGTGATGGCACATTTAAGTTTATGGGTTGGTAGAGCCCATTACCAAAATATCTCAATCATTTTCCGAACTATTTAATTTCAAAGATTATAAGTTCATGCTATAATTTTGAAATGTTTAATTCATAAATTATATAACCCTTTAGAGAACTATAATTATTTGGAGAGCATTTATGTATAACAAAACATGTAACCAAAAAGGGAATTTTTAAGAGATTGTGTTTAACTGAATTTGAACTTTAATATTATAAACTTATAAGTCGCAAAGTGCAAATATTTTTTTACAAAAAAATGTTTATACATTAGACGATAAGAGAATTTATGTTACAAATTTGAAATATATTCTAATATTATAAAATTACAATTATATAAAATTATTTTTATGCCTTATTTTTAATATATATAGATATGTCCCTCATATATTTGCTTGCAATTTAATCTTCAATCGCGAATGCACAAGCAAATTGTTTCATAGCACATATTAGACTAATCGAAATGTGGTGCAAATATAAATTAAATTTATCCTTAGGAAAAAGTAATTTAACATTCACAATACAATTCATATAAAAATATGTTCATTATTTTTAAATTGTTAAAATATACCCACTCTATCTCATGTGAGATAGACATTTTTTATTTTATACCATGATTAAGTAATTATTAGTAGATTGATTGATTTTATTATTTTATCCTTTGTTCATAATAATTGATCTCTTGAAAAATAAATTTTTAGATCTTCAAAACTTTGTACAAACTTCTAAAGGTCATAGACAAAAGAGAAAAAAATTAATTATTTTTATTTTAATTAATTAATATAAGATAAATATTTTTACTATCATTCTAATTTATTAAGTGATCAATTAATATAAAATAATTCTTTTTCATTAATATGAAACGAAAGAAATATTAATTTCTTACTATGAGATGAATATCACTACACACATGACATTCCACTTCAACTCTCTTAAATATACTTTTGTCTTCCAACCTTTATTGATGTGTAGTTAATTAATGAATTTAATTTAATGTCCTAAATTTATTTTTTTTCTCTATCTTGTACACAAAGCAAAGCACCAAAGTAATATAAAAGGCAAAAAAAACAAAACGCATTCGAACATTAAATGATTGTAGTAACGCTTTTAAGTTTTTTTTGACAAATTAAAATTTTAATATAAATATTACGATCATTCGAACATTAAATGATTGTAATAACGCTTTTAAATTTTTTTGACAAATTAAATTTTAATATAAATATTAAAATATGTATCGAATTTTAATATGAATGTTGAAATAGATAAAAATAGAAGAGTAGCTCCTCACAGAACCCGAAGCCACATACATTCTCATTGGATCCATGTGTATTTCGATTAAAACCCAAAACGCACTCCACCTGTTCGACAAAAAGCGTCAATCAAAACTCAAACAATCATATTTCCGCTTTCTTCATCATTAGCCATGTCTTCTTGTCTCCATATCCTTCTAGATTATCCTTCTTCGCCGGCCTGTAAAACCCCTTTGTCTCTTTTTCACTTTTTCTACGTCCATTTGTATGAAATATAGTGGTATATAGTGTGTACTTGTACATGTAGTGCCGGGTAATGTAAATGTAAAAAGATAGTACTAGTCAAAAACCCAAATGAATATTGTAATGGGTTTTTGCTGAAAGGAAGAATCTTTGGTGGAATTTTGCTTCTTTTTTTTTTCTTTTTCAAGCCGGTTGCTTGTTGGGTTTATTGTGGGTTCTCTTTACACATATGCCACAAGTATATAATATATACTGTATATATAAAAGTAATGTATTGTATATTATGGACCATACCTGTTGCTTTGCTGTGCTGTTTCATTAGTTGGGGGTTGTTGTGACCAGTGAATTTTGTTTTCTTTTAGATTACACAAGAAGAGAAAATGGTGAGGGGGTAATAAGCTTTTCTCTCTTTTTTTGGTTTTCCACCCAGTGTGCTATAGCTGTATTGAGGCTCGACTAAATCCGAATTCGCAACTGCTAAGTCCTATACCTGTTGCTGTGCTGTTTCCTTTGTTGGGGTTGTTGTTGTGAGCAGTGAATTCAGTTTTCCTTAGAAACACAAGAAGAGAAGGGTGGGTTTGGAGTGAGGGGGTAAAAAGCCTTTTTTTTTTGGGTTTTCTGTCCTGTGTCCAGTACCCGCATTGGGGTCTTACTAAAAGTATTATATTTGAGGCGAGCGCTCTCTAACAAAGACGACACCGTATCCAGGGGGCTCGAACGCAAACCCAGACATCCCTTATTGGTAGGGGGTTAAGAAGCTTAGCTGTAAGAGAGGGGGACCAATGATTATGATTTTCTTTTTGGTGTCTAATTAATTAGTGGATTCTTATGACCCTTTAAGGTTTGACTCATGTTGGACTTCATTTATGTGGCTCCCATGTTTGGTGATTTTGCTTTTTTCCTTTGATGGGGGTTTGTATAATTTGGTAATTAATTGCCAGCATCATATAGGTTCAGATGCTTTCAATTGAATTCAGTAGAATTTGTGTCGGAGGAAAAAGGTGTGTAAGTTGTGTTGGAGAAAATACAAATTGAGTGAAGGGGTGAGAAACAAAGTTGTTGTGTTCTGGAGTTTGGATCATTGATGGCGCCGGCTGCGAAGGTCACTGGATTCTACCGTGAGGGAAATGACTGGTATGTTACATTATTCCTTTTGATATGTTTTTACTTAAACTGAGGGTCTATCAGGAACAACCCCTTTGCCTTTGAAGGTAGGTGTAACGCTACGCAAACGCCACCCTCCCCAAACCCTACTTGTGGATTACGCCGCGTACGTTGTTGTTGTGTTGTGCCTGTGTTTATTTCTTTTGATATGTTTTTACTTGAGCCGAGGATTTATTGGAAACAACCTCTCTACTTTCAGAAGGTAGGTGTAAGGTTGCGTACACCCCACCCTCAAATCCTACTTGTGGATTATACGGGTTATGTTGTTGTTCCTGCATTGATTTCTTTTGATATGCTATCGCTAGAGCGAGGGTCCATCGGAAACGACGTCTCTACCTTCACAAGGTAGGGATAAGGCTGTTTACACCCTCACCGTCCCCAAACCACACTTGTGGGATTACAGTAGATATGTTGTTGTGCTGTAAATTTGTTTTAGGGCTAAAATGACAGAATTCTGCATCCGGCATAGATATTGTTGAGGAGCTGAACATTGGCTCTTGCTTATAAGCTTACTTCCCAATATGTGCTTAAGATTTTGAGGCAATATTGGGTCAATTTTGATGGTAATATTGAGGGAGGGAGCTATCTATTTTCTTGCCAGGAGGATGTTTTAGTTTTTGGCTACCAATCTATTTAGTTTCAATGCCAGTAGAAATTTTACTGTGTATCAATACCAAAAGATCTGTTGGGTCGGTTTAAGTTCTGATTGGAGTCTCATTCACATTTTGTTATATTTGAGAAATCTTCAATGGTTCGAATTCGGCGGATAATGGGTCTGCCCCTCTACTCTTCTCTACTTAATTGCCAGGCCTTTGTATGTGGCAATATTCGAACACATTATCACAAGTTGTTCTCTTACCACTAGATCCTAGACCAAAGCCCGGGGGGGGGGGGGAGACTCGCATTCATCTTTCAGAATGAAAACATCATGATGTTCATTAACTCCAAAAGTTTTGATTGTAGATTTGGATAAGTTGGAATTATTTAGCTGTGTTTCTTTTTCTTTCTTGATTCATAATTTGATGCACATGACAGGTTTTGCAATGCAAGTTTGGTCAGTGATTTTACGTTGGTTGTGGACGGAGTAAACTTCCACCTTCACAAGGTACTTATTCTTCCTTTAAATTTTTAAAATAAGGATATGCAACTTAGCATGTGACCTTTTGTGCTAGGCAATTTTGAGGTGAAGTGTTATCTCATTTCCTTTATCATGCATTTAAATAAACCATGTTTATAATGGAGATGCTGCATTCCAACTTTGTTAATTTTTTTTGCTGTAAGTTCTTAAGTTATATAGAACTCAGTTCAAGAAGCAGATTGCTCAATATTGGCAAATGCTGAAGGAATAATACTATGAGAGTTAGTATTTATGAGAGATGACAATTTTCTACTTTTGAGTTATGCCCTGTTAGATTGTTACATAGCTATTATACCATTAATTTTTCTTTTTGTTGAAATGGCACCTGACGAACATAGAGTTTATAGTCTTTCCTTTTTCCTCGTGAACAACTCAGTCGAATTGCGACCCATTGTCAATATCAAACGTAGCCCTACCTTACTGAAGTAGATTCAATAAGTACAAAATGGAGTATCATACTTCAAAAATAATGCCGTTTTTATTGCTTCCTACTTGAGAAAAACATGGCAGTGCTTGTTCAAGAATGAGTTAATGTTTTTACAATTTACTTTAAAGCCTACATATGTTTCATGCATGGTACAATGGTTATCACCGTTTGCTAGTTTTTTTGAGAAAGTTAACATATCACCATTTGCTAGTTTGAATGCGATGGGTTTCTCATCTTTTCAAAAGAGATGGTTATTGTAGGTGTTAATTCAGCCTGGTTGATGAATCCATTCAACTGGAGTCCTGAAAGATTGAGCCTCTGTTTATATGGGATAAGAGAATCCATATGACTCATTTTAGGCCTTTAGATTGCTACTTGGACACATCTTTTGAAGCATCATTCCCTCTGTTATAAAAATATAGTCTAATTTTACCTTTTGAATTGTCCCTAACAAATATATACTCCCTAAATTTGAATATTCTTTTAAAAATAATTAGTAACTACATATTGTATGCTATTACGGGAGTTATAGGAGATGCTCGTTTCTATGTTCAAAGTTATAGACTTATTTAAATGAACTTCCTTTGAGAATCCATTAATCCAATTTGCTTTGGACCATCACTTTCTGAGTTATCATCTACTGTGTTGGTATATTTTTTATGGAATAGCTACAATCAAATGAGTTTGAATAATAGGTCTTGGGTAAGGGTTAATGGAAATGGTGGTAAGAATTGATGAGGTTGTTTAAAATTATTTATTGTTAGTAATAATAATCCAGTACTGTCATGAGGTTTAATGGATATGTTGGCAATATATAATGGGGCTTGAGAATAGTTCTTCTATAGTAATGATATGCTGAAAAGTATCATAAACTTCATGGATTATGTAATACTCCCTCTGTATATGACTTATTTTCCTTTTCAGTCTGTCCTAAAAAGAATGACACATTTCTATTTAATAACAATTTAACTATTAAAATACCTATTTTACCCTTAATATAATGATTTATAGCCATACAAATATCTATGACTTATTTTAGACCACATTTTTTCCTTAAAACTCCTTGCCAAGTCAAAATAACTCATAAATTGGGACGGAGGGAGTAGTACTTTATTCTAAACATGTTGGCATATGGTCAGAATGATGAGAATTATATTTAGGTTATTCATGACATCTAATACTGTTTGGAAATTGTTACTTCCAGCATCTGAAATATCTAATTTTCTGATAATTCCTCTTGATGTGCACTAATTGTGAGAAAGAAATTATAGTGTTGGCTAATTATCTCCTTTTTTTTTTTCATAAAGAGTAGTTTTAATACCTTTGCTGTTCATTTATTCATTTTCATCATGTCCTTTTCAATTCTTGCCTTCTTTTGATGAGTATTCAAAATTCGAAGTATGAAATGACTCCCGATGCTTTACTGGAAGAACCGAAATAAACTGGAATGCTAATGTTTGTGGCAACTCAGTGTCATCTAACAGAAGTTTTCCATTGAACTTATGCAAGCTCCAGTTAAGAAGTGATGTGTGTGAAATCAGTGATCTATGGAAGATGACTATGGTGTCAAATCTTCAAAATAACTCTACTCTTCTCAAGGGTGATTTTGCATGCGCTTGCTTTGATTTTTCCTCGCAATTATTTATGTTTGTCTTTGACACTTTTTATTTTAATGTTGTTTCTTGTCATGCATCCTATAATGATCAAGTATTGCTGACTTTATATGGAATCCCCAACTCACCTTTTTACAGCAAATTTAACTTCTCTATATCAAGTCTCGTCTAACAGCCAAAAAATGCTGTTTCTCCAGTTTCCACTTATGTCGAGATGTGGAAGGATTGACAAACTACTAGGAGCAGTTCAAGGTCCACATGAAGGGACTTTCCTGACAACTTTAGAAGACTTCCCTGGTGGAAGTGACATATTTTTAGTCACAGTTAAATTCTGCTACGGTATTCGAATAGAATATACCCCAAGGAACATAGTAATGATTTATTGTGCAGCAGATTATTTGGAGATGACAGAGGACTATGGTGAAGATAATTTACTGTTTAAGGCAGATGCTTACTTTCATAAGAATATTCTGAAGAATTGGAAAGATTGCATATTAGCTCTCCAAAGTTGTGATTCTATCATACCAAGAGCAGACAAGCTAGAGATCATTAGTAAATGCTCGCATGCTCTCTCTGTGATGGTCTGCACAGATCCTAGTTTATTTGGATGGCCTATGTTGTTGTATGGCTGTTTACAGAGCCCTGGAGGTAGTATATTGTGGAATGGAATTAACACCGGTGCTAGAATCCAAACCATTGAATCTGACTGGTGGTTCGAAGACATCTCATATCTTTCTGTGCCATTATTTCAGAGACTAATTCGAACAATGGAAGTCAGAGGTATTAGACATGAAAATTTAGCAGGTGCTATGATGTACTACTGTAGGAAGTACCTTCCAGGACTTGGCCGGTGGCAGAGTGGGCAAATTGGTAAAACTAGAACAGTTGCTAGTTTCAGTATGACACCAGCTGCTGTCAATCAGAAAGTTCTTCTTGAAAGTGTTGCTAAACAGCTTCCTGAATTGAAGGGCAAGTCTTTTTGCCGTTTCTTGTTGGGACTTCTGCGAGTTGCCTTGATACTTGGTGTGCAGCAGACATGCCTGGACTCGTTGGAGAGGAGAACAGGAATGCAGTTGGACTTAGCATCCCTAGATGGTTTGCTGATACCTTCCTACTCAGATTCTGATACACTATATAACACTGACTGTGTTGAACGAATGATTCACCATTTTATATCTTTTGAATCTGGGATCACTGCAATACCTAATCCATCTTCATTTGAGATAGGAACATCACCATCATCCCATCCTTTAAGGAGAGTGGCGAAGTTGGTTGACAGCTATATTGCAGAAGTTGCATCTGATGTGAACCTAAAGCCAGAAAAAGTGCGTTCACTTGCTGAAGCTCTCCCAGAATCTTCAAGATCTCTGCATGATGGGCTATATAGAGCTCTAGATATATACTTCAAGGTTTGATTCGGTCCCTGATATTTCACTGTGTGCTTAGTGATGATATAGCTGATTTTTTGGACCAGGGAATCTTAGTAGCTCAATTGGTTGGCTACCTGAACTCTCACCGTGTTGGTGAGAGTTTGAATCCCCACCTTGTAATCCCCTTCCCCAAATTTTTTTTGGACTATTTTTTAAGCTGATTGTTTGGATTAATTTATTTACCTGCTAGTTAACTGTCACATGATAGTTAGTCATTTCATTCTATTCCATCGATGTCTGCCTTTTTATATTTCATAGCATGTCAATTGCATATCCATTGTTGAATACGGACTTAAATAGGAAAGAGTCTTTCATTTCTGAGGGTAGGCCTCTAGTAAAAAGTGAATGCATCTCGGAAAGCTGCTTAGTCTTTTTTATGCAAAATGATTTTCTAGCTTATTTCTTCTGCTCTCTTTTATGCCATATGTGTAGTCTCAACATGTATTCACCTTTTATATCTTTTTGCTTTGTTTGTTTTATGCTTCATCACTGACCTAGAGCTAAATTACTTCCAACTCTGCACTGTGGAACCTTGTACACTTTTAATGGATTGAAATGAAAATTGTATAGGCGCATCCTTGGCTTTCAGCAAAAGAGAAGGAGCAGCTTTGCAACATCATTGACTGTCAGAAGCTCTCTATTGATGCTTGCGCCCATGCATCCCAGAATGACAGATTGCCTCTTCGAGTTGTTCTCCAAGTTCTTTTCTTCGGGCAATTGCAGCTTAGAACAGCTGTAGCTGGTCGCTTCCAAGTCTTGGATACAGAGAGTGGTCCTGCAGCTCCCGTCACTGGCCCTAGTGACATGGCAGGTCAAATTGTACAAAGAGACGGATGGGTGACAGTCGTGCGTGAGAACCAGGGTCTAAAGGTGGACTTGGAAAGAATGAAGTCCAGGGTTGGTGAACTTGAAGAAGAATTCAGCAAAATCAAACAAGAGATGAGAAAGGTCACAAAGTCACATAGTTACCTCAGTTCTCCGCGCTTTCTTGCCCGAAGGTTTGGATGCAAGCTCCTTCCCCAATCCTCGGATACTCAACCAGACGTGGTTGAAAGCACAGGTCCAACCCCAAGAGCATCAGTTGAGCAACCGAGAAGCTCAAGACACCGTAAAAGCTCCTCTTTGATTTCATGACGAGAAGACTCAGGTTTGATGTCTATTCCCCCTCCACACCAGAATTCTCGCCACTACATGTTTGGAATAGATTCATCCCTTGGTAATTCAGGGCACCTATATATCCCTTTGAGAAACCATTTCGAATTCATTTCATAAGATACAACTGTCCTGCTTGGCTGGCTGATTATATTTAGTACGTCGGTTGGACAACAACAAAAACATAACGAAAATACTTATCCATCGGAACGATGGTCTCCTGATGGAAGAAGATGAGAAGAAACCAAATTTATGGTTCAATCTCATGTATCTTGACATAAACATAGAATTCAGCTGATACTAGTAAATTTCTGTTCCTTTTCTAGGAACAATATAATGGGACTCTGTTGTCCACATTTCTCTCTTATACATGTACAGCTTCATGAAGAGTTTGTAAAGCTATATGATGAAGGTATTCATGTTTTAGTTTCAAAAGTATACTAGCTATAAAATGGAGGGCTGGTGGTGCTCTAATTATATCTCTAGAAGAATTATACATAAAGCTCTACATTCATTATCTTCAAGTTGTGTGGAATTCTTCTAATTGTTTGTACCAATTGGTTACATATCAAGTTTTGTTATATTTTCATACTATTCCTACTACTACACTGGTTATGAGATTGGTCTATATTGATTAGCAATATTGGTTTGTGAATAGTTCTAGAGTGAAATGGAGTAGTGAGTTTTGATTTGAGTTGGAGAAATTAAACCACAAACTACGAGAACAATGTTGATGTATGCATTATTTTTGCTAATACATTTTATCAAACGACCTTTTAGTGATTTAAAGTGACTTCGAGCAAAAAATTGTAATACCAAGGAGATGTTTGCGTTGAACTTTTAATGGATAATAAAGTTAAAGACTTTTTGCCATAAATCCACACCTTTTCCTATTATGAAATGATAAATATATAGATATTTAAGCAAATGTTATGATTATGAATGTTTTGGTTTCAAGTAAAATATGTAATATGAAAATGAGATAATAGTTAAAAATACATTTGAATTATTATTTTTTTGCGAATTTATATTTAAATTGTTAAGTGTTGCGATTTTTAATCTGAACTATTATCAACTATTTATCAAAACATGTTTCAAAGTTGGCTAGACCAGTGTTTTGAATCACCAAAATTTCGATGCATATTTTGATAAATAGTTAGTCTAGGCGAAAGTTGCAAACACATTATAGTTCCCATATTTATTCATTATCTCTAACTTAATTTAATTATCTCTAGAATGGCTTTTGATATTATTTTCAAACAAAAAAAATAACATTCGCTATGCATAATAATATACTAATCAAAATATGATAATTTAGATAACAAACACAAACATCTTATAATTCGGATAAAATAAAACTCTAAAAGAAATAAATAATGTTCATATTTTTACCATTATCTCTATATACAAAATTAGGTGGGTCATGCACACTTCACTAATTTAACTCTCCAAATTTGTTGCAATTTCTCTAGTACTATTATTAAAAAATTCCTTATTATCAAACATACTTTATTATCTCATATACTATTATTATTTATACATCTAAAATGTTACATATCTTATTATTGATTTAGAATTCTTTTTAGGTATTTTACACTTGATTATGTATACTTTTGCTACAACATTCCAAAAATAAAGAGAGACAAGCGAGATTCATTTGTATTCAATATACATGCGAATCACTCTGAATACATACTAGATACATGAGAGAGTAATGAAGGAGATTAGATAGAGATGAGTGATCCATGCAAAATCATTTGAATATATTGTATCTAAAGTAAAATACGCTTTATTTGATTGACATAATACATATATTAGACCCTAAATTTAACTTCAAATTTTAACTTTGACCTCCAACTTTCATAATGCACAAACAGACACTTTAACTATCCAACTTTTAAATAAATAAACACATGAGTCCTACATGACGCAATACACATAGGACACCATGTAGGACAATGTAGGACGACATATAGGACATACGTGTCTATTTGTTCAACTTTATACAAATTTAAGTGTCTGTTTATGCACATCCAAAATTGAAGGACATAAATATAATTTGAAGTCAAGTTAAAGGGCACAAACATCTGGATGCAGGGGCAGACCCACATTGGGTTTAGGATGTTCACTCGAACATCTTCGGTAAAAAAATACACGATATATATTAAGATAAATTTTTTGTATTTCTGTAGATGCATATTCAAATATTTTTTATTTAAAAAACGTGTCAAAAGTGTGATAAAAAATTCAAAGGGCTCATTTCGAAAGATTTATTTACACATTTATATTTTTTTTTTATCCTTCTGATCAAAAATCCTGAGTTCGTCACTGTCTAAATGTATGAGCCCTTAATTAGACTCTTCGAAAAATAACTGAATTTAAATTAGTCGAACTCGATGATAAAATAGTCTAAATGTATAAGCCTTTAATTAGACTCCTCGAAAAATAACTGAATTTAAATTAGTCGAACTCGAAGACAAAATAAATAAAAGAATTTCTGTCTTACGTTGTTGCTCCTACTATAAACTTGAAAGTGAATCTTGCTCATTTCATCAAACAATGGCTCTGCTTCAATCATCACTTTCTCATATATCAAATCTTTCGATTTCTTCAAACACAACCCAAATTCCACAATTCAAAGGCTTAAATCTCTCAAAGTTTGTATCTTTACAACAATCGATTATGAAAACTGATCGATTTTTCAGAATTACATGTACTGGACAAGAATCCATCGTTAGAACTGTTGACGGAGGTGATGGGGGTAACGGAAAAGGTGGGTTTCCATCTGACAACAACGGCGGCGGAGATGACGGTGACGGCGGTGGTGATTATGATGAAAAAGAGTTTGGGCCGATAGTGAAGTTTGATGAGGTGGTTAAAGAGGCTGAAAAATTGGGGGCGAAATTGCCTATTGATATGTTGGAAGCTGCTAAAACTACAGGGATTCGGAGATTGATTCTTAGTCGTTACTTGGATATGCAGGTGAAAGAAATGTAGTCGCTTTGTTTTAATTTGTTTGTCTGGTATTGACTTGATGTAGAGTTAAAAAGTACAAAGATTTTTTAATTTTATGTTGTTTAACGTAAGATATAGTAAGCTCCCGTTGATTTTGAAATTGAAACTTGAAATTTTGAGTTTTTGGAATTTGAAGTTGTATTTGGATATGATAAAACTTGTGAAATTTTGTGAGTGGAAGTTCAAAAATCCAAAATTAGCTAGTTTTTGGGTACTTGGAAATATTTGAAGATCAAATTTCATGGCCAAACACATATTTGAAGATAAGTTTCCAAAATATATGACTGCATGCTAGCTTAGACTATCTAAATGTTTTTCAAGCTTGTGGTCCCAGAGATGTCATATGGAAAGTTAGAACTAAAGATTTGTCAAAAAAAGGAAAGAGATGTTCTTTTTTTAAACGGACTAAAAGAGAGAGTAAGATAAGTATATTGAAATGGAGGGAGTTCTAATTTTGATGCAAAAGTGTTCAACTTTATTTGATGTGTGTAGATGTACTGGTTGCATTTTGAAATGGTATTTTGACATTCAGGGTTCAGCTTGGCCGCTAGGATTCTTAATGAGACATTGCTCAATGCTGAGAAATCGAATGCTTGCTGATCCGTCGTTTTTGTTTAAAGTCGGAACAGAGGTTAGTTTGATAATCTGGAGCTATATTTTCTTTTAATTGTTGAAAATACTGAAATTGAGAGGTAGTTATGCCAGTACTTTATTATGGTTGATCACTAATGTCATGAGGAGTTTGGTAATTGGTATTATCAATTGAGTAGCGTGCCACAAATATTACGCTCAAGCTAGCTCGAACACTAAACTTTAAAAAAATGCCAAAAATATTTCTTCTCTTTAAGAGTAATGATTGTGAAATGTGTTTGACTTGCATTTTTATCATATAGGGTAGAAACCTACAAAGTAGCCACTGTGATCTGAGGTGTGCATGACTCAAGTACAAAGCTTGTAATAAGTGATTATGGAATCAGTTGCTCTCTTTTACTAAGCTGTGGGGACAATCATGCTTATAGATTTTCAAGGAAAAACATTCTAAGTCGAGGAATGGGTTGTGGAAAATGGATTAATAAATTGTTTAACTGATGGGTAACTTTATACATCAGTTAAAGAACTGGTAGCTAACAAGCTTGACTGTTATAGAGCTTAAACCTGATAAGACTGGCAGTTTATGCGTAATCTGATGTATTGCAGATTGTCATCGACTCCTGTTGTGCAACATTTGCAGAGGTTCAGAAAAGGGGAAAGGATTTCTGGGCAGAGTTTGAGTTGTATGCGGCAGATCTTCTTGTTGGAATTGTTGTTGACATTGCATTGGTAGGTATGTTGGCTCCTTATGTCCGAATAGGCAAGCAGTCTGTTTCAAGCAGCTCTTTTGGACGCTTTCGACATGCTTGTGGAGCTCTTCCCAGCAGGTGACTGATTTATTTGTGCACCTTCATTTCTACAGCATTTTCTGTTTTCTTTGGCTTTCAAGTCAATGACTCCAACTTTGTGCTTTCTGTTCTCATGATTTTGAGGATGTCATACAACATCTAGTGCGTACACTAATTGCGTCAGAGTAACAACTGTCACGTTCTTCTGAGGGAGTTCAGTAAGCTAGATACAGAAAGTAATTATATGTTCATGAAATTGTTTCACTTCGTCTGTGCTGAAAACTCTCTGCTCATGCAGATGAACTTGATTGAGGTTGACCATCAGAGACTTAATGCTTCTTTTGTGTATAGTTTCTTCTCCTGTTCATTAAGATTATTGTGGAAAGCTTCACCATTTTAGGACTAAAACATGTTATGAAAAGTGAACAAGCTTCGTAGAAATGGACCTGGGTATGGCTATTACTAGCTGCCTTAAGTGCATGCTAGAACTTTGATTTTTGAAACTTCTCTTGTTCACTTAGGTTAGAAGTCAGATGATTTTATGTACCACAAGGGTGTAGGATTCTATGTGAAAACTGGGAATAACACGATCAGTGCATCCTCTTTTTTTATGTGGGTTAAGTTTGACGTGTGCTATGACAACTGATAATAGTAGTGTTTCTGGTCCTGATTTCTGAATATCCATTTTTGTGCAGTGTTTTTGAAGCTGAGAGGCCGGGGTGTAAATTTACATTGCAGCAGCGTATTTCAACGTTCTTTTACAAGGTAAAAATATAATTGAACTTCTTTGTCAGTTTCAGAAAAGTAAATAATTTGAACTTCTTTGTCAGTTCCGGAAAAAAAAATTGAACTTCTTTGCTATCTTTTAGATGATCTTGGTACTACCAGACTACAGATTATAGATATTGGATGAGAGAATTTGTTTCTACATGAATCCTTTTTCAAGTCCTGATTCATAATCTGTTATTTTGGTTCCATTTGATTTGTTGTTCCCCAAGTATTGAGTCCCTGTAGTTCTGAAGCAGTTACTTTTTAGTGTTA